TGATTTCATCTTATGTCATCTTTAAAGTGACCAAAGTAACTTGCAAGTGACTGCAAGTGGTTGCAGACCTGCTCCTTGTTACAACAACCAAAGGCATTTACATTGCAACTTCATTGTTACTGTAGCCTCACTTAGCCAAGCGTGTTAAGGCTCCAGCATACCGCCTTTATTGCTACCCATAGCTTTGCAGATGCAGATCTACACGTTGCAGTTGTCTGCTGGAATGCGCTATTGTTTTCTTGGAGGACAACACATCTCCATGGGCTCTGCACTGTTTAAATTCCCAGAAACCTTCTCTCTGTATAAGAATGACATAAAAAGACACCATAAATCTGTATTTTCCAATATGGCAGCGTTCTTCATGCCTCAAGTATACAGTTTTTACAATAACCCCAGAAAGCAGGATATTATGTTAATAATATTTCTTACCTCAGAGAGCGCTATTACTCGGGTAATAAAGTACATCACATGTGAGAACTGTTATACACAGTTATATGTGTTATACACAGTCTATACAATGAGACTTGTTTTTTTTTTTCAGAGTAAGAGAAACTGCCCCCTGCTGGTCATTAGAAAGATTTCTCTTTTCAGAAAAGGAAACCTTTCTTCTTCTTTAATACACTATATGGATACTTATCAGTCAATGTCTTTATTTCTTTTGGCTAATAGGAAATGAGGATATTACTCTTACTTGTTTACTTCTTTAAATCTGTCTCCTGTAAGTCCCTGTAAGTATTGGCCCATAATAGATTATGCCAGTGGCTCCTACTCTGGGAGTTCTGCATCACAAACTCCCAATGAAAAAAGTTACTTCAATAGTCTAAATAGTATATAGAGCAATTTCTAAGTTGTGGCGGCATAAAATACAAACATGCTGATGCAAAAAAAAACAAAAAACAAAAACAGCTCACAAAAAATAAATAATGGCTATCCATGACTCCTATTACCACCTGTAACCGAGGAAAACTCCCTATGTGTAGGGAGGGGTGTTTTCATTTGGTTACTGTTTGAAGATTTTTTTCCCCTAGTGCTTCAAAACTGCATTTATTTAGACCTACAATATTAAATTACAGCTTTTACCAGATTAGGGTTGCTTGCTTGTAGTAATCGGTTAGTTTGGTCAATACTCAGATCACAGTTATTTGACACATCACACACTTTTAAATTTTTTTTAAAAAATTGTAAATTTAAAACGTGTTAAAAAATATTATATTTTCAAGGGAATTTCCTTGAAATGTAAATACAATCCAAAAGTAAAGCAAAGGAATGTGCTGAAATGCAAATATAGGAATTATTTTCACAAGCAACTGGAGCCAAATACAGCAGCACAAAACGCACACTACTCTAACACAAGATTAGTAACTGTGTGCTAAAACATAGGAGGAAATCCTTCAACTTTTACTTCTTCCTTTTGCACAACACCGAATTGTCTTCATGTTTTCTGCATGTTAACAATTTGTAACTATCGCTTTATTTTCAAATCACAGAAAATTATGCACACACATGAAATAAAACCAACGGCTCTTACAAGATGCCATGAATAAGAGTGATGAATATTTTGACACCTGTTGTGTGCTTACTTACATCTGCCATCTTGTTAATGAAGAGTCCAACTAATTTATTGGCACACTTTATTGCAGAGCACGGAAAGGTCAGCAGTGTGAATTAGGCAGTCCTCAAACACAGTGAGGCACCCACGTATGTACCCGTGTGAAATTCTCGTGCTTGACTGATCCCTTTCATGACTTTATTGACATACAGATTGCTGGAGGTACAGAAATGATGAGGACAGATAAGGACTCCATGCAGGGAAATACAGTTTTGTGTTGAAAAGACTAAGGGTTCCACCTGGATAAGTCCACACACAACCCAGCAGAAAATTCGAGTGCGTATGGCTTCTAATATCATATCCTCGTTCAAGAATGACCTTAACAAAGCAGGATGAGTCACCTATGTTTAAAGGGCAGCGACAGATAGGACGCGCAGTGCAGCGTCTTATCAAATATTTGTTGGTTTATTTTTATGGAAGAAAACAAGCTCATGTAACAGAAAGAAAAATGTAAAAAAAAAGACCAGGAATATGCAAGATGCAAGAAATACAAGGTTCAGTTGGAGGTTATTCTGTAAAATCATTCATAAAGCCATAGTTTAATTTATCACTTTCACCTTTTTTACTGTAACTGCTCACTTGGAACATTTTACCAACAAAAAAAGGAACAAGATGAAAAAAACATAATGAAATTACATTACCACCTAGTGAAAGTATGAACTTTGGATTACCCCACACTGAGAAGTGAAGGAGGTTTTCATTAACTCATTCAACGATTCACTAACACCTACTCATGTCTGATTGCCTGGATTTGATCACTTATACTAGAGGTCACCTTTTTTTTTCTTTCTTTTTTTTTAATTTTCAGCCTCATAATTAAACCAACTTAAATGACTTCTCTGAAAGAATAATTGTCCACATCAATCAGCATTTTGTATTTGGAAAGTAATAATTATAGGTTGTGACGGAATAAAGTGAACTTTGAAAGTTTTACTAGTAATTTTCAAGCATAAAAGGCAATTCTTCACCACAGGTTGCCATACCCTACCATGTTTATCATAAAAAAAAAAATCTTAACACATTCAACTGTAAAGCTCTATATTGCGCTCCCTTTGTTGGGATTTTAAACAGCAGATGGCAGTGTGGGGTGAATTTACAGAAGACTAAATTTGTGATTGAACTAAGAGTTGCAATATAAGTATAATATGTGATGTCAAAAGGCATGAAACTATTGATTTTACTTGTTTGATAAGTCTACAATCTATTTTTTGTTATTACTGTTATATAGTATTTTTTCAGCTTAGTATATAATTATTTTAATATGAGTTTTGAGCTGTGAGCATCATGTCATATGACGCATTAAGCAGTGTGATAGTGGTGTCACGAACACTGACTTTTAAAGGGTGGTCTTTTTGGCAGCGTTCATTAAAATGAACAGTTTGCTTTGTGTTTGTCACAGTTCTGAAATCTTTTCAGAAAGCCAAAAGCACAATATTGCTTTCATTTTATTGCATAAGGAACCTACAGTGGGTTGTTTTGATACAAATGCCATGATGGCTTGCGCTAAGTCATCAAATGAGTCAAAGAAGTTTGTCCCTTAATTTTCCTGTTATAATCTATGTTTTATCCTTTTGTCAGTCATAGCTTCATGTCTGTTTGTCAAGTTGTCTTGGTCTGGACTCAGTGTGTGTTATTTCCTGTTTTATTTTGATAGTCTCCTGTCTCATGTGGGTGAGGTTCAGTTTTGCTTCCCTTGTCTCGTCTGGTATAACACAGCGGATCCTCTCTGATCCCAGCCACCGCAGCCACAGACTTTTCACACTCCTGCCGTCCGGCAGGCAGTTTAGCAGCATTCAGACCCGCACTAGCAGACACAGAGATAGTTTCTACCCACAAGCCTCCAGGCTTTTGAACTGCTGACATTCTGCATACACCATTACACACTCACTACTCTGCACACTGTCACTTCAACAAATGCCACTTAAATGCTCATTGCACAGGTTTTTGCACAAACTGTAAATACCAACAATTGTCTTAAATTCTCTAAATATTTCATACTTTCTTATTTTGTTTGTTCATTTTTTCTTTATCATTGTTATTATTATTATTATTATTATTATTATTATTATTACTGTTCCTTTCTTGTTATTTTCTTCTTAAATATAACTGCACACTTTCTATATGCTCATGTGAAGCTGAGGAGCACGAGCCAAAGAATTTCATTATGGGTAAATGTGGCTACACTGTTTATCTGTATATGACAATAAAGGTGTATACATCGTCTGTGTCTCCCTCTATTCTTTCTCGTGTCCTCCCTCATGCTGTATGAGTTTTATGCCGTTTGCTTAGCCTCAAGTCAGTTTGTTCCTGTTCAGCTCAGATATTGTTTTTGGTTTTTGTTTCCTGCACAGTTTTACCAGTGTTAAAACAAAGCTGCGGTTTTGAGTTACGTCAGTCTGCTAAGTCCTGCATCTGGGTCAACCCTCTGTTTGCCACACACCCATTCACATGACATTATAGGGTTAATTTGTTATGAAATGATAAAGGATCAGGCTATTCCTGAACATGAAACTCCGTGTCTTCTCCTGACCAAGTGCTTCTTATGTATAACACACCTTGAATTTAAACATCTGCGCTTCATGGGATCTTGATAGTTTAATTTAAAATCCACATGGTGGTGTGCAGAGCTAAAAATCACAACACTTGTGTTCAATAACTTATGGACCTAACTGTAAATATAAGCAATAAAGTATACTATCTACTAGGTATACTGCTTCAGTTTTCTTCAGCACACATAAACAGTCAGTATTGCTGACATAATCATTAAATAATGAGACACTACTGAGTAACAACCATGTTTCACTAAATGATCCAGAAAAAATTAAGCAGATAAAAGAGTTCATCTAGAACTATGCATGAACAAATACTGAACATATCTTCCAGTTGGTTCTCCAGTTAAAAAAAAAGAATAGAAAGAAAAACACAGCATCCTGCACAGTTTATAGGGAAGTACTGAAGCACTCATTATCTACTAGGATGTCCTTTATTCATTTTTAGTACCCAGTTGTACCTACTGTAAAGTGATACTGTAGTCAGATGTTTTTGTAGCTGCCACTTATAATAGTCTATATACTCTATATCATGTAACTCCATAATTACATGATAGAAATAAGAAAAAGTGTCAAACAAAACAGGAATACATTGTTGGCGTTTCTTCTGCCTCCCTTTAAAGCATTGGGAAAACACATTCAAGTGATAATATCTCAAACAGGAAATCTGGTGGGGCAGGAGATGGCTTGCTTCTAGCAGCTCCTCTTATGCCCTGCATGAATGGAGACAACATGACGTCATGTGACTTTGTCTGTGTTAGGGGGTGGGGAGCAACCTCAGCCTCCTCTCCTGCACTGAATCTGTCACAGTGTAGAGAGACAGGAGGAACCATGAGGGCCTTTTTATAATATACATTCTCAGCTCCAGCTCCCCTTTCAGTGTAAAAAATGCATTTGTGTTGTCTGACGAATAAATCTGGCATGGTGCTTACATAATGAAGGATAATTAGTTTAAGCTGCAGCATTCGAGGCTGCCTTTGGTGGCTCTGCCAGATGTATCAAGGACTGGTAGCAGGCCAAAGAGAGTCAGTCTTATTCTGCTGAAAGCCTCTTCGTGCAGTCTGCCAGGTAGGTTATGAGCTATTTGATTTTGCGCACCAATTTTATCACACGTATTGTCATCGATGTTGTATGTTATACCTTGTGATTAGCTTGTCATTGGTATGTTATTTCTGTGCTTTGCTGTGTGGGCTAGAAGAATCATCAGATCAGGATGATTGAGCTCATGTCTGCAGACGTCCTTTGCATTGCAGTCACACCTCATGAATATTTTGTGTGCCGTTAAAAGCTGGGCAGCTGTTTGACCATCAATGCCAGTGCTTTAATGTTTAACAACAAAAACGCAGGCAAGAGTCTCGGTGGCAGCGGCACACAGACCGACAGTTGGGCCTAAACAGAGGCCTGGGCTATTTATACATTTTGTTTCTGTGTGTTATGTATCACTGGGGAAAAAATGTGCAGGATCAGAACATGGACATCAGCGGTGATCCTGTGTTAACATCATTTATTGACTTATATTTGTGTTCTGTAGCGTAAATATATGAACACGGTGCACAAAATCAGAAACTTATTATACGCTCGCGCTCATTTCCTTTTCCTCCATTTCCTCTCCGCCTCCCCCACCTCCCTGTGTTTTTGCCTCCCTCTCTCGCTCTCTTCTTTCTCTGCACCAGCTGCTGCTGTTTCAGAGCCAAAGTGGAGAGTCCTCTCACCACCTCCCCCCACCCCACTCCCTGCACAGGCAGAGACAAAAGGCCTGGTTCGCCCGCTGAATACTCCATCCGTCCCTTCATGCACGGCCGTAGTGGTGGTGGCGAGGGGTTCAGGATAATACGAGGCCTGGGCTGGGACTGAAAGCTAGGACTGACCCAGGGAAGGAGAGTGGGAGGAGGGGGAAGGGAGGGCTGAGGATGGAGGGTGGAAGCTGAAGTGGTTGGGGCTGAGTAAGGGCAGGTGCTGAGGCCTCCAAAGGAAGACTTTTTTCCACTCAATATCTCTCAGAGTGGGAAAAAAAAATCTGAGAAGGGTATGCCAAGTTTACCTTTTCATATGTACATATATATATGCATGACAGTGCATGTCTATGTCCCTGTGCGTCTCTGTGGGGGTGTATGTGGTGGTGGGGATGGCACGCGATTAAATTTTGGGAGGAAGGTGCATGTGCGGCCTGTTTGCCCATGTTTACTTTTGTTTACACTTCCTGTCATTATATCACAGTGATAGGAATAATTCTGTTAGGGGCCACATCAAAGTCTTCAGTTTTCAGAGGGGTTACTATCATGATTGGGGGTAAAGTACTGAGGGATGGGTCTGAGGAACAGGCCAAGGTTGCAGTATAAGATTTGGCTACTATCCTTATTGTTTAAACTTCCTTCTTCTTCTCAGTGCATTAGTAAGCAGCTATCATAAAGACTCATTTGGATGTCATTTTACCATTTAAGTCTTGTTGGCATCTATTACTTTTTTTTTTCAACATCTGTGTTCAAACCAATCATCATATTCTTCTCCATTATTTGTATTTTTTGGCTTGATTTCAAAGCTGTGCAAGCAACCAGACTAGTGTCCACCTGTGAAATGGTAATAGCTCAATCCTTGTTCTTTTATAAAATCTTTGACAATGTGGACCTGGTTTAGTGAGAATTGTTGCAGTGCTTCCTGGGAGGTGAGCACACTGCTTCTGTCTGCAGCAGAAGGCTTTTATGCTGGGTGACCGGAACCAGCTGAAACCGGTTTGAGGCAGTCAGAGTGCTCACAGGAACAATGCTGTCTCTGTGCTCCATGGGGATAGAGATAGCCTAGGCTGCTTCATGGCAGACCATCACAGCTCAACCATAGCACAAGCACAGACCCCGCTTCTCCTGCTAAATGCTGGCTGGATGTCCGAGCGCTAGCGTGCCGAAGCACAGCTCAGTGTGAGGGGAGCAGTGAGACTTGGGAAGGGACGAGTGCAGTGGGACGTGGCTGGCTGGGAGTCTTGAGAATCTGCAGCCTAGATCCTACCTCACACATACACACACATGCATACACATAGGAGCATGCTTTATCTGTTGTCTGTTTACATGTCTGTGTGCTCGAGTGGTGCAGAGAAGGACGATTTTTACCAAGACCACCATCACTCACCAGATCGCGGGATGTAACCTGAGCCTGTATTCTGGGCCTTTGCCTGGCTGGGAAGAAACAAGACTTTTTTCTTTTTTTTTTCAGGCAGGGTGGGGTGGTGGATGGCTTTTGTGGGTTAGTAGTATTGTGACTTTGTTTGTTTCAGGATGGAAAGAAGGAAGGAAAGAAGGTTTGGCTAGTGGCTGGAGAGGGACGGAGGCAAGAGGGTGAGGAGTTGCTGATTCACTTGCATGTTTCCTCTATTATTTATTAGACTTTAGTACTCTTTTACACATTGTGTCGATTTCAAGTGCTAACAATGCACGTCTATTAAACTGGTGTTGTCAAGATGGGTTCTATGTTGTGTATTTGACATATTTGCCTGCATTTAACCTTCACTTGGTTTCTACGTCAAGCTGTTCTGCCTGTCATGGCTGTGAATAGCTGTTCTTTCCACCAGGCCTTTCTCCCTCTGCTGCAGCTTCACACAGCTCAGCAGCCATTTTTTCCCTCACTGCATATGTTTCCTGCCCTCTCCCCCCATAAGATTTCTCCTTTTCTCTGTCATTTCATCACCAGCGAACAATATGGATTACATGGGGAATTCTTTATTTTGCAATCCAAGTCCAGGTTAAAGGATATGGGTCTGTCTGTGGAACTTTGGCTCCTGTAGATTTGGATGAAACAGCAGCACTGATTCAGCTGCACGTACAAGCAGAGCAGCTTAGCTGTCCCTTTTGTCCCCAACACTCATAACAGGCTACATTCAGACAGGCCCAATCATAGCTAGTTTAAATTGTTTTTGTAATAAAAATAAAGGCTGATTCCTAAAAAATAAAAATGTTCAAAACACAAAACATTTCACCTGACTGCCAAGAATATGTTCCTGATTTGTATTTGATTATGATAAACAGACACATAGTGTTCCTGTTTATATTTAAACAAATTATTTAACTAAGCCAATTTATTGTGAACATTTTATTTCATATTATTCAAGACAAAATTTAGCTGAGCAGTGACAACTGAAAAAGGAAAATCATATATATATATATATATATATATATATATATATATATATATATATATATACATACATATATATATATATATATATATATATATATATTAGGGGTGCAACGATATTCGTATCGATATTGAACCGTTCGATACAGTGCTATCAGTTCGGTACGCATATGTATTGAACAATACAACATTTGTAATTTATTTTATCAATTTTCCTTCTGACGATGCTGTCTGTGTTGAGCGCTCAGTGAATCTGCGTTCGACTACTCCGCCTAGGCTGCACTGTCGAGCGCAGATCCACTGAGCGCTCAACACAGACAGCATAGTCAGGAGGAAGAGCGCAGGGCAAGCTAGCAAGACAGAAGTTAAGCTCTCCTTGCAAGATGGACCTCCCCCACCCTCATTCAGATCTGGCGTTTGGAATTATTTTGGTTTTCATGTGACGTATGACCCTGAAGGTAAGCGAGTCATGGACTAAAGTAAAACAGTATGTTGGATGTGCCATGCAATGCTTAATTACATTGGTGTGAACTAGTGTGTTAGCGCAGTTAGCTGTTAACGTGTTGGCCGTCTAGCCCCATGCACGGGGCGATCGGCGGTAGCTCGTTAACGGAGATTTGCCGTGTTGTGGCGTTAAGGTCATTTCAACGTGATTAACCTGAAAGCACTAGTGGGAACACAACGAATATGACTGCACATTTACGCCGACATCATCCTAGTGCAAAGACAAAAACAACAAGCATGCTACTAACTTTAGCCAAATCATTTAGACAGCTGTTGGCACGTGATTCTCCTTATGCTGCTGAGAATATAGCCCAGAAGAAGCGGATAGTATAGCTTTTATTTTGGAAAGAGACATTTCTCTGTAATAAACTCTCTTTTCCAAAGATGAGTGATTCCTCAATCAGATACAGGGCTTGCAAAATCGCTAGCCCGACGTCCCGGAGCTAGCGATCTTTCCAGTCGGGCTACAAAAATCTCTCTGCCCTGCCTGTCGGGCTATTGTAGGAAAAATATATGTCAATGCTTTTGCATTCTTTCAGAAATGTAGCTGGGTAATTATGTCATTGGCATCGGTGAGCCACTGTCAATATGTGACATATTGAAATCGCGTTTGAATTTGCGCTTGTTTTTTTGCTTTCACTTTGCAATGACAGCACTGATCTGTGAGTGATGATAATTTGTGCACCAATTCCTCTGACATCGTCTTATTAATCGTTAGCTTACTATGCAAACATGACAAGTGAAATCTCCGGCAGCAAGCTTAAACATGTGAGAGGTTGATCGCGCAGAGAATCGCTGAGCTTATGTGAGTCAGTGTGTAAAAGTAGCAGTATATATATTTTAGTTCTGCTGAGCCAAATAAGACAGGTCAGGGTGAAGAAGTGACAGCCAAAGAAAAGCTTACCGCAAAACGGAGAAGTTATGACAAATCAGACTATAAGGCAAAAAGAAAGTGCAGCTTTATGGTTTCATGGACAAAAGAATTTCTGTGGCTGCGATATGATGAGCTAAATAACCAGGGATGCACATAAGTGGTCCGCAGGTGCGCATTCGCTGTCAAAATAAAAAACGCGCACAAGGGTTAGGGTTAAATTTAAAAACTGTACTTTTGAGTTAAAATATATATTTATAATTTTAATAAATGACAAATTAAAAAGGCATGAACATTTTTTTGTATCGAAAAAATATCGAACCGTGACACCAAAGTATCGAACCGAACCGAACCGTGAATTTTGTGTATCGTTGCACCCCTAATATATATATATATATATATATATATATATATATATATATATATATATATATACATATATATATATATATATATATATATATATAGTTGAGGCATAATTCCATAATTCAGCAAATTCTTGATGAGAGCTAAAATTGACATAATCAGCACTGTGGTATACTTTAAGTTTATTTCACTTTGACGAAAATATTATTACTGTTTTATTTATTAATTTATTTAATAACAAAGTGCTTTTAATGTCATCACAGCATCACATCTACACACTATGTGGATGGTGTGTTACAACCTGGTGTACCTGTCTAAAACTAGTTAGTGAACTTACTAAGTTATGACAGAAATAGGACTGAATTCTACATATTTATATTTAATGTATGAAGCAAACACAAATATAAATGGAACACATTTTCTTCCGTATCCAATTTTTTAAGACTAGCTTCATGCCATCATTGTATGACTGACCTGATCAGAATTCTTATATACTTGCACACTCTTGTAAACAGAACAATTACAATAGAGTTAAGGGTTGTAGCTCCCAAGACCAGCATAATAAAATGTTTTGATACTTTGTCTTTCTAGGGTGATCACCTCACTGGAACAGGAGCAGGAATATGGGAGATATGAAGACGCCTGACTTTGATGACCTGCTGGCGGCCTTTGACATCCCTGACATGGTGGATCCTAAAGCCGCTATTGAATCTGGCCACCAAGATGACCATGATGGACAGCTCAAGCAAACCAGTGGTGGTGTGACTAACAGTGAGAATGAGGCCCAACACCCCTCAGCAGCACATGATGTAGGTGTTAGTGTCATTGTGAAGAACACACGAAACCTAGACACAAGTGACCATTGTGGGACTGAATCAGAGAGGGGTAGGCATTTCCACTCCCATTCCCGACTCCCTTCTGTTCACAATGGACTTCATAATATTTTGGTGTCCACAATACCAACTGGGGCTCAATACACGAAGAATGGATGTAAAATTCCCAGAGAGGAAGGCCAGAAAATGAACAATGAATCATGTACCTTCAATCAGTTTAGCCCAATTTCCAGCACAGAAGAGTTTGATGATGATGAGAAAATTGAGGTAGAAGACCCAGGAGACAAGCAGGGAGGTCACACAGCTAGGAAAGGGGAGCGGAACTCCAAATCTGCTAAAAGGGAAAGTCTTTCCAAGCCCAAAACAAATGGAGACCAAAAGCCTGATCTTAACAACAATAACAGTGGTACTTTTAGAAGTTGTAAGTTCAAGAATCTCTCTCAGCCAACTTTACCTGAAGGGAAACTTGAGGAAACAATGCCCAAGTCTCATAGCAAAGAGTGCCAAGAAGGTGGGCAGTCATCGGGACTTGGTAATCCATCCAGCCTTTCACAAGTCAAATCCAAATCCTCAACAAAACTTTCATCTTGTATAGCAGCCATAGCTGCTCTAAGTGCCAAGAAAGCTGGTGCTGAAGACTTAGGTACTTTGGATTCTCCTACAACACAACAAGAACCAGCACAGGTCAAAGAAAATTCAAGAGTCCCTGAGAAGCCACAGGATCAGGAATCAGCCATGGAGATTGCAAAGAGACTGCTAACAAGACAACCAGACAGCCCCTCTAGTGTGACTAGTGAACGCAGCAGCAAAGGTTCCCCTGCCTCAAACACAGACACCACCCCAGTTATCCCAAAGGTCAGGATCAAAACAATCAAAACCTCAACTGGACAGATCAAGCGTACAGTCACCCGAGTCCTTCCAGAATTTGATCCTGAGGGTCTGAAAAAAAGAGAGAACAGCACATCTGTCATGACAACCAATAATCCTAGTGCAATTTTTTCAACCACAGTATTAACCACCACAGGGGGACCTTCAATTGAAATAACCAAGCAAATGACAATTAAACCTGTTGCAACAGCATTCCTGCCAGTCTCAGCAGTCAAGACAGCTGGTTCCCAAGTTATCAACCTTAAGCTGGCTAACAACACAACGGTTAAAGCAACAGTCATCCCTGCTGCATCAGTACAAAGTGCCAGCAGTGCTATCTTGAAAGCTGCTAATGCCATCCAACAACAGACTGTCATGGTACCTGCCTCTAGTCTGGCAAATGCCAAACTTGTGCCAAAGACAGTCCATCTTAGTAACCTCAGCCTTTTGCCTCATACAGTGTCCTCTGCTGCCTGTGATCTCCAACACACCTTGTACAAACAGCCCCAACATCAGCAATCACAGCAAGCAAAACAGCAGACAATTCTCACCAGTCAGCAGTCAAAGAAAGTCTCTAGAGTTCAAGTGTTCACTAGTTCTCAAAGCTCTGTGGTGGATGCCTTCAATAAAGTCCTGAGTAGCATGAATCCTGTCCCTGTGTACATCCCAAACCTCTCCCCACCAACCTCAGCCTGTATCTCTCTACCCTCACTTGGCTACAAGTGCTTGGAGTGTGGAGATTCATTTGCTCTTGAGAAGAGCCTGACACAGCACTACGAGCGCCGCAGTGTGCGGATCGAGGTCACCTGCAACCACTGTGCCAAAAGTATAGTGTTCTATAACAAATGCAGCCTCTTGTCTCATGCTAGGGGTCACAAAGACAAAGGGGTGGTTATGCAGTGTTCACACCTAATCCTAAAACCCATCCCTGCAGATCAGATGATTGGTACATCAGCTGCAGGACCACACAGCGTTAATGGCACCACCACTACCACTCAAGCACATGCGCCTGCGGGTCAAATGCAAGACAAGGTATCTGGTGCTGGGAACCAACCTGCAGTGATTTCAGCTCCAAGCAGTGCACCTGTTGTGGCAGCCATGCCGTTGGAGGATGATGCATCAAAGCTCTGCAGGCACAGCTTAAAATGCTTGGAGTGTAACGAAATGTTCCAGGATGACAACTCACTAGCAATGCACTATCAACAAGCATCGGAGCCCAGAAGTCAGGTGTGTATGTAATGCGTAAATCACCACAGGATGTGAGGGAAGCTATTTTTGCCAACTCCGGTCAATTTGACAAAATCTCTACAAAAGCCGCAGAAAATACCATGCTATGAAAACACAAGGCATTCTATATAAAGGGTAGAGTGTATAGTTGACTGTAAATGCCAAGATACATGTAAGGAAGAAATATAAAAATAATTTAATCTGCAGTATATATTAATTTGCATTAATAATATTTTAGTTAAATAACATGATGTATTCTGGAAGCAGTTTTCTAAACATAGTAGGTGAAAAAAGTCAATTTTTTAATGTCTTTTCTTTATCCCATAGAAAACATGCACCATTTGCCAAATGCTTCTCCCAAATCAGTGCAGCTTTTTGTCACACCAGCGGATCCACCAGCACAAATCACCTTACATCTGCCCTGAGTGTGGTGCCAGTTGTCGCTCTGTCCACTTCCAGTCACATGTGACCAAAAACTGTCTGCATTACACTCGGAGAGTCGGCTACTGGTGCGTTAGAACTTTATAAACTTGTTTTTTTGTCTTCTGTTATGCGACATAGTTTTTTCTTTTTCAAAACATGTGCTATTGAGACCCAGATGTTTATGTGCATAGTGTGAAATCTGATTAAAATATGAAGCCACGTTGCACCATGATTTTCTGAAAGTGGCCATACACAGAATAAAATGTGTCTTGTTCTTGCTTTCCATTCAAAGTGGCACTTATAGTGTCATTTCTAATTACAGTTATTAAAACATCTGCAGCTTGACAATCCCATATCCCCAAAAGTGATATTATTCACAACAAAAATTACTGAGAAAAAATTAGACTGTCACAGTTGGAGTCACCCAAGTTACATGCCATTAAAAATAAAAGTTTGTCTTTGAGCAATTACAGTTCAATTATGACCCTGGTCAATCAAATTGTTATTAAAAGAACAGTTGGCCATGAAGGTAAAATCCGCAACGATGTAATACATTTTATTACATTCTTGGCCTCTTGATGATATTTTTACAGTTGATATGACTTGTAATTGCTTATCAATTAAGAGTGCTATCAACTTCATAGACATGACACTATGTGCAAATGCACTTTCAGAACATTTCAATTTTAACTTAAATTCATAAATCAGCTCAATATACAAAAAATTTACTTTTATCCCCAAGACCAGAGGTTAACAATCCCAAAATATAAATGTATTTTCTATTTCTGTGTGACGATATCTGTATTTCTACTTCAATTAGTACTTTAAAATGTGATTATAGAGAGATTTGTCAGGCTGGTCATTTCCCGCTGTTTCCACATACTAGTTATAGCTTCAGTCACATGCATAGTTGGTAACCTCATGTTGACCTCTGGACCCTGGGTTAAAGTTTGAAATCACAAGGTTTTCAGCTCAGCATATATTCTTCCAATTTCACTTTACAACTGTCCCACATCTCAGTTGCTCACAGAATACACACTTTTACTGATGGCTGCCTGGTGGTCCTGGCAACCTGTCTCTAGTCCAGCAGAAATGGGGCTTCAGCTATTGATTTCACATCAACTGCCAGCAACTGCTTTTTTTCCCTCATGACTAATGGTTGCTAAAGGGTTGCCAGCCAGTCTTTAGGCCTTTGTGACTGGGGCCTAAGTTAACTATCGTGTATTTTAATATTCAATATAAATCTTTATATTTAACTCCTAAAACACATTTATGCATATTTATTCATATATTTTACTATAAACTCAAGAATCAGGTCCAAGTTTGACACGAGTCTTTTGCAGACTAAGGTGCTGGACTTTTGATGGCACAAAGTCAATGACCATTTTGAATTCATATCAGCAAAGTTTCTGTTAGGAGAATGTGCTGAATTGATTCATAAAATGTAATTTGAGTCAATATCTTACCTGTTCTTCCTTTCTCCATTCTTTGTCCCTCCAGCTGTATCCACTGTAGTGTGATCTTTGCTGATGTCGCAACTCTAAAGTCCCACATACAAAGTGCTCACTGTGAGGTCTTCTTTAAATGTCCTCTCTGTCCCATGGCCTTCAAGTCTGCACCGGGAACACACTCACATGCATATACACAGCATCCAGGACTGAAGGCAGGCGAGCCCAAGTAGGTCTTCACATGCTGTATCTATCATCAAAAATATGTAAAATAGAACCTAATTCTGAAAATATTTTTGCAAAAATACAATCATTTGCAAATCACATAAGCCCATATTTTATTCACAATAGATCACAGAAAATGTATCAAATATTTTAACTGACAAAATGTACAATTTTAAGAAAAACATTATCTTATTTTGAATTTGATGGCAGCAACACATCCCAAAAAACTCAGGACACAGCCAAGTTTAACACTTTGTAGAATTACCACTTCTTTTAACAACTGTCTAAAAATATCTGGGAACTGAGGAGACAGTTCTGTGTCTTCTTTGTCTTATTTTTAACTTCATGATGTGGCAAATATTTTTAGCTTGTTAAAGGTCTGGACTGTAGACAGGTCTATTCAGCATCCAGACTCTTCTACTATGAAGTCACACTGTTGTGCATTAGTGCTAATTCCATAGGCACTAATGCATACTATCAGAGATGCGCTGCCAATCAAATGACATCCTCTCTTCTGCAGCATCCATGTTTTTCCAATAAGAGTTTTAAGTCCATTGTAAATGAGCAGTGTAGTCTGACAACCTGAAGATCGCAGACATGCAGTATTGAGGTTCAGCCTTGTACTTTGTGCACAGATATTTCTCCAGATTCTCAGAACATTTGATCATATTATGTACTGTAAATACTAAGATATTCAAAAGCCTTTACAATTTTACATTGAGAAACATTAATTAATTCTAAAACTGCTTCACAATTTGTATTTCTTGCAAATAGGTGAACCTTCTGACAAACTCTGCCTTTATAAGATACTTCTTTATACCAAATAATGTTACCAATTTGTTACCTAATTGGTTACAAGATACTCCTCCAGCTTTTTGTTTTAAGGGTTAGGCTTTTCCAGTCTTTTGTCCCCAATGTTGCTGCCATCAAATTCAAAATGAGCCAATATTTATCATGTATTTCCATTTCACACAGATTCCTAACATTTTCAGAGCTGGGTTTTCAAATTAATCTCAGTTATATACCCATATGATAATTGTTTTCATGGTTTACTCATCAACATAAATGTATGTAAGCTTTCTTTGACACAAGCACACGTCAATGTAACCCAATACCCATGTCCAATGCCTTTCATTATCTTTGCTGTTTCATCAGTAGTAGGATTTGTGTGTTTTAGATTTGGTGGCTTAGCTTTGGTTTGTTTTTTCCACACAGTAACCTTTCACTTACTTACTTACATCACCCATCATTAACAGTTCTGATGATATATACGCTCAGCAGCAGCTGTCCTTGACCCATTTGGCCTTAATGTCCCTCAAGTTGAATATTTCATACTATATGTAGTGAACTGGCACCAACATTAATTATAAGCATGATGTAAACCCAAAAGTAGCATTTGAACAGCTCCCATCCCTAAATACTTCTCTGTCTGTCTTTCAGGATGATCTATAAATGTTCCATGTGCGATACTGTGTTTACTCTTCAGTCCCTCCTCTACACACACTTTGACCAGCATATAATCAATCATAAAGTTTCAGTGTTTAAATGTCCCGATTGCTCCCTGCACTATGCACAAAAACAGCTCATGTTGGATCATATTAAGGTAGGCAAAAATATATAGTTTGATTTTTGTGCAATAGGATTAATTTTTGTATGAATATTTTTAACTTGAAAGTAAACATTTTACCGTAACTTCCAATTAATCTCATGAGTTGTACTTTAGAAATGTCAGACTGTAGATTTTTTACACTTTTTGCCCACATGGCTCATTTTCAGGCCATACATGGAACCTTGAAGACCACGGAGGGCCCGCCAAACCTGGGGATCAACCTTCCACTGAGCACGAAGCCCACTAATTCTAACAGCACCAACAGCAAGAGCCCCCGTAATAATAACAAAGATGGTAGAAATATCAACGGTCAAAACAAGGGAGAAAAGAAACCTTCAGCTTTGTCAGTAAAGAAAAATAACAGTAACTGTTCAGAAGACTTGAAGAGCCCTCCCAGTTCAGGATACACATGTAAAGACTGCAATAGCCTCTTCAGTTCCAGGGAGCTCTTTGTGGTGCACATGAGGCGAGAACATGGCAAGGTAAATATCTGCCACTCTCATAAGAAAGTTTAAGATTTGCCAAATTATTGTGTGGATGCTTTAAGCATCCACACTATTGAGTTCCTGTTTCTCTTTATTCTTTATTATTATCTTTATTATTATTATTCTTCAAGTTGCTTCCGTACACTTTTCGCCGTAGAACTACTTCCACAATTTTCAGCCGATTTTCACCGTTCAAATTTTAAACTATTCTGCTATTTTTGCTCTTTCCGGCTATGACTTTTGCTATTTTTTGCTATTATACTTTTTAAAATATTCCACTCTTTTCCTTTAATTTGTCCCATTGAAATGAATGGGAAACTTCAGCAATTCTGCTAAAATTTGCTTGTTTTTGAAACTTAACTACTTCCTCATATTTTCACCTAGAACAACCATTCAAACTTTAAAATATTCACAAATTATTGGGCTATTCAGGTATGATTCAGCTTTTTCAAATCTTTTACTGTTTTACTTTTATGCCTCTTAAAGTTTTGAGTTGCAAAATTGTGATTTTTCACAAAATACATGCGTTGTTATGGTTGCTATGCTCTTGGCTTCCAGTGTGCCACTGAAGGATTTGCAGCCTTCTCTTCATGTCTGAACAACTGTTTGCTACTTGCTCAATTTTCACTCAACTTCCACAAATTATACATCAAAACGTAGGTATTTTTGCTGGCTTTCAGAAAATGTCACCATCATTGTTGTGGGATTTATAGAATTTTGGCAAATCTCCTCAGACTAACACAAGGTCAGAAAACTCTCCATATAAAGTGAATGGAGTTTGTTCAAAATCACCGCTGGATTTCTGTAATGAGAGGCATATTCGAATCGTCATATCTCCTTAATGAAGCAAAGTTAAGACATGAGGCTTGTCCCCGAATATCTTCAAACACTCCTGACGCTCACAATTCAAGAATTTCTTTCTTACCTATTACCGTTCTGAAATGAGTTGGACTTGTTTGAGGGTAGGAAATTTGTCCCTCGCTCAGATTTCTTCAGATTTCAAAGTCTGGAAATGAACCACTTTTTTCTCTCGTCATAACTTTTTGTTGGATTTCCACAGAGACCTGAAAATTTCCATGACTGTTCACCAAAGCCTGCTGTCTCTTACGGTGAAAGAATGATATCGATATTCCAAATAGATTTAGAGTTACAAAGCGTTGTTTGAGGGCAAGTCAAGGCAGTTTTTGCTTCGCTCTACTCAGTTATGGTGCATTAGAAGTCAAATATCTTTAATAATTCATATGTTAATGATAAATTGTTAACACTGGAAGATTCCCCCATCTCTTCTGAACAAAACGGTGTAAGAATGACCGCTCTAGCCCCTACGGTTAGGAAATTATGGTCATTTGTTTGAGGGGAGTCCTCACTATGAGAAATAGACTGCAATAATCCTGTGCCTCTCTGTGCTGCGTGTGTAAAAAGATGCACCTGTTTTGGCGGGAAAACGTAAACAGCCACTCTGATTGGTGGATTTAAATTCGGCAGCTCTCTCCCTCTGTGTGTGTGTGTGTGTGTGTGTGTGTGTGTGTGTGTGTGTGTGTGTGTGTGTGTGTGTGTGTGTGTGTTTAGTGGGAGAGAGAGGACCCTGCCCTTATTTGGCAGCATGTCATTGTAGGATTTAAATTGAATATAGTTAGACTGGTTGACTGGATTAGAGCCTGTGTTTGTGTGTCCCTCTGTGCTTTTGTGTTTCAATAAGTTATTACTATTCTGCTAAATCTGGTACTTTTCGGTACTTGTGCTAAATACAGTATTTCTGCTAAATCATACTATTTCTGCTTTTCATAGAATTTATGCCTAATATAGTATTTCTGCTAAATTATAGTATTTCTGCTTTTTATAGGATTTGTGCCTAACATAGTATTTCTGCTAAATTATAGTATTTCTGCTTTTTATAAGATTTGTGCCTAATATAGTTTTTCTTCTAAATTATAGTATTTCTGCTTTTTATAGTATTTGTGCTAAAACATAGTATTTCTACTAAATGTAGTATTTATGCTTAATCATACTATTTCTATATATTTCTGCCAGGTCCCCAGGCAGCCAATCCTCTGTGAGGACTTAGACATTCAAATTTTCAAATCAGGGCCTGCACGGTTTCCCAGCCAATCACATATGTGTCCTGAGGCATTCAAATTTGCATATTGGGGCCTTCATGGCTTCTAAGCCAGCCAATCATATCTGAGGGTTGAGGAATTCAAATCCACAAATCAGGGCCTGCACAGCTTCCCAGCCAGCCAATCATGTATGTGGGCTCCAGGCATTCAAATTTGCATATTGGGGAATTCGTGGCTTCTAAGTCAACAAGTCATCCATGTCATATATCTCTAAAAATTCATATTTTAATGATAAATTGTCAACACTTGAAGATTCCCCCATCTCTTCTGAACAAAACGGTGTAAGAATGACCCTTCTAGCCCCTACAGTTAGGAAATTATGGTCATTTGTTTGAGGGGAGTCGTCACTATGAGAAATAGACTGCAATAATCCTGTGCCTCTCTGTGCTGCGTGTGTAAACAGAAGCACCTGTTTTGGCGGGAAAAAGTCCACAGGCTCTCTGATTGGTGGATTCAAATTCAGCAGCTCCCAGGCTGACCTAGAAACTTACTTCTCTCTCCCTGTGTGTGTGTGAGTGTGCGTGTGTGTGTGTGTGTGTGACAGAGAGAGAGAGAGAGAGACAGAGAGAGAGAGAGAGAGAGAGCAAGAGAGTGAGTAAGCCTTTTAATGGGATGATCTCATTCTAAGATTCAAATTCAATATATTTAGACTGGGTGACTGAATTGGATGTTGTGTGTGTGTCTCTCTGTGCATGTGTGTTTCCTTATGTGTACATATTTGTGATTGTGTGGCTGTTATAGATTTTTTTGCTGATTTTTTTTCATTTAACAAGTATATTTGAGGGACCCTCAGCATGTTCAGCATTTTTTCACCTGTCCATTTTGCTTTTCCAATTTTTCTGTTTAACTTATTACTATTGTGCTAAATAATACTATTTCTGCTATTTTATAAGATTTGTGCCTAATATAGTATTTCTGCTAAATTACAATATTTCTGCTTTTTATACTATTTGTGCTAAAACATAGTATTTCTACTAAATGTAGTATTTATGCTTAATCATACTATTTCTGCTTTTTATGGGATTTGTGCCTAATATAGTATTTCTGCTTTTTATAGGATTTTTGCTCAAACATAGTATTTCTACTAAATGTAGTGTTTATGCTTAATCATCCTATTTCTGCTTTTTATAGGATTTGTGCTTAATATAGTATTTCTGTTAAATTATAGTATTTCTGCTTTTTATAGTATTTGTGCTAAAACATAGTATTTCTACTAAATGTAGTATTTATGCTTAATCATAGTATTTCTATATATTTCTGCCAGGTCCCCAGGCAGCCAATCCTCTGTGAGGACTGAGAAATTCAAATTTTCAAATCAGGGCCTGCACGGCTTCCCAGCCAATCATATATGTGTCCTGAGGCATTCAAATTTGCATATTGGGGCCTTCATGGCTTCTAAGCCAGCCAATCATATCTGAGGGCTGAGGAATTCAAATCCACAAATCAGGGCCTGCACAGCTTCCCAGCCAGCCAATCATGTATGTGGGCTCCAGGTATTCAAATTTGCATATTGGGGAATTCGTGGCTTCTAAGTCAACAAGTCATCCATGTCATATATCTCTAAAAATTCATATTTTAATGATAAATTGTCAACACTTGAAGATTCCCCCATCTCTTCTGAACAAAACGGTGTAAGAATGACCGCTCTAGCCCCTATGGTTAGGAAATTATGGTCATTTGTTTGAGGGGAATCCTCACTATGTGAAATAAACTGAAAGAAGCAGGTCTATGTCTCTGTGCTGCGTGTGTAAAAAGATGCACCTGTTTTGGCGGGAAAACGTAAACAGCCTCTCTGATTGGTGGATTCAAATTCAGCAGCTCCCAGGCTGACCTAGAAACTTAGTCCTCTCTCCCTGTGTGTGTGTGTGTGTGTGTGTGTGTGTGTGTGTGTGTGTGTGTGTGTGTGTGTGTGTTTAGTGGGAGAGAGAGGACCCTGCCCTTATTTGACAGCATGTCATTGTAGGATTTAAATTGAACATAGTTAGACTGGTTGACTGGATTAGAGCCTGTGTTTGTGTGTCCCTCTGTGCATTTGTGTTTCAATAAGTTATTACTATTCTGCTAAATCATAGTATTTCTGGTACTTTTCGGTACTTGTGCTAAATACAGTATTTCTACTAAATCATACTATTTCTGCTTTTCATAGGATTTATGCCTAATATAGTATTTCTGCTAAATTATAGTATTTCTGCTTTTTATAGGATTTGTGCCTAACATAGTATTTCTGCTAAATTATAATATTTCTGCTTTTTATAGGATTTGTGCCTAACATAGTATTTCTGCTAAATTATAGTATTTCTGCTTTTTATACTATTTGTTCTAAATTATAGTATTTCTGCTTTTTATAGGATTTGTGCTTAATATAGTATTTCTGCTAAATTATAGTTTTTCTTCTTTTTATAATATTTGTGCTAAAACATAGTATTTCTACTAAATGTAGTATTTATGCTTAATAATAGTATTTCTATATATTTCTGCCAGGTCCCCAGGCAGCCAATCCTCTGTGAGGACTGAGACATTCAAATTTTCAAATCAGGGCCTGCACAGTTTCCCAGCCAATCAAATAAGTGTCCTGAGGCATTCAAATTTGCATATTGGGGCCTTCGTGGCTTCTAAGCCAGCCAATCATATCTGAGGGCTGAGGAATTCAAATCCACAAATCAGGGCCTGCACGGCTTCCCAGCCAGCCAATCACATATGTGGTCTCAGGCATTCAAATTTGCATATTGGGGAATTCGTGGCTTCTAAGTCAACAAGTCATCCATGTCATATATCTCTAAAAATTCATATTTTAATATTAAATTGTCAACACTTGAAGATTCCCCCATCTCTTCTGAACAAAACGGTGTAAGAATGACCGTTCTAGCCCCTACGGTTAGGAAATTACGGTCATTTGTTTGAGGGGAGTCGTCACTATGAGAAATAGACTGCAAAAATCCTGTGTCTCTCTGTGCTGCTGCGTGTGTAAACAGATGCACCTGTTTTGGTGGGGAAAAGTGCACAGCCTCTCTGATTGGTGGATTCAAATTCACCAGCTCCCAGGCTGACCTAGAAACTTGTGTGTGTGTGTGTGTGTGTGTGTGTGTGTGTGTGTGTGTGTGTGTGTGTGTGTGTGTGTGTGTGACAGAGAGAGAGAGAGAGAGAGAGAGAGAGAGAAAGGCTTTTAATGGGATGATCTCATTCTAAGATTTAAATTCAATATATTTAGACTGGTTGACTGAATTGGATCTTGTGTGTGTGTCTCTCTGTGCATGTGTGTTTCCTCATGTGTACATATTTGTGATTGTGTGGCTGTAATAAATGTTTTTGCAGATTTTTGTCATTTAACAAGTATATTTGAGGGAACCTCAGCATGTTCAGCATTTTTTCAGCTGTCCATTTTGCTTTTCCAATTTTTCTGTTTAACTTATTACTATTGTGCTAAATCATACTATTTCTGCTATTTTATAAGATTTGTGCCTAATATAGTATTTCTGCTAAATGTAGTATTTATGCTTAATCATACTATTTCTGCTTTTCATAGTATTTGTGCTTAATATAGTATTTCTGCTAAATTTAGTATTTCTGATTAATTATAGTTTTTCTACTAAATCATAGTACAGTATTTCTGCTTTTTATGGGATTTGTGCTAAAACAAAGTATTTCTACTAAATGTAGTATTTGTGCTTAATCATACCATTTCTGCTTTTTATAGGATTTGTGCTTAATATAGTATTTCTGCTAAATTATAGTATTTCTGCCAAATTATAATATTTGTGCTAAAACATAGTCTTAATTTAAAATTACAATATTCATAGTTCATCACAGTGTCTCTGGTAAATCACAATATTTCTGCTCTGTTGTACTATTTTTCTAAATCATAGTGTTTCTGTAATGTTTAAGTATTTTTGGCTAAATATATTCTTTCTGTTATCTTATACTATTTCTCCTAAATTCTTGTATTTTTGAGAAGTTATCATGTTTCTGGTAAGTTACAATATTTCTGCTAAATTCTGCTATGCTATTGTATTTCTGCCAAGTATTATGTTTCCTCTAAGATATTGCAGTTCTGCTAAGTTATTCCATTTTAGCAAAGTTCTTTTGCTTCTGCAAAGTTTTTACAATTTCTGCAACTTTTCAGCTTTTTCAGCTACTTTTTGCATACAGCTTCAGCTTTAAGCATCCACACTGCATTTTCGCAGGAAATGCAAATTTTTCTAGTTGTTTTTAAGATTTGCTTAGTGCTGATAAATGAGTTGAGCCAGAAATGGAAAGCATTCACCTTCTTAGTGAAGCACATTGCCACTGCAACCAACATGTTTCAAAAGGGGAAATTTTTAAATTGAAGACAAATGGTCTTCATGGTAGTTACCATTTTCCATGCAAACAACTCCGAACGAGGTTTGCAGTGCAGCATCACATACCTCTTTGCAAGCAGTTTCACCTAGTGACAAAAGGCAACTTCCTGCAACTACATACCACTGGGTGCAGGACTACACCTTTTTCCCTAGCATCCAGTGGTTACTAGGGGCCACTGACCCTAGGTCAGGTGCTTAGGCAATCAATGCCACAGCAACTGCTAGCAACCTCTAGCAACCGCTTGCAGCTGGTAGGGAATACTCATTTTCCATAGCAAATGGTGGTTTCCAGGCAGTTGCCAAACAGTCTCTAGGTCTGTATGATTTAGTCCTCAGATATTCTTCCCTTCCCTCTGCAGATGTTGAAAAAGCACCCCTGTCGACAGTGTGACAAGTCTTTCAGCTCCTCCCACAGCCTTTGCCGACACAATCGTCTAAAACACAAGGGCTTGCGGAAGGTCTACACCTGCCCGTGAGTATCACTTTCTCTGCAACTGTTTGTGTATGCTTACATTTCCTGAGCAAGTCTCACTCTGTAAATGAGCAAAAGTAAGAAATTATTTGTGTCCATGGTCTCCATGACCAACTCACATTTTTTTGTAGGGATTTTACAGGTTTACAAAGTTCAGCATCAGAACAATGCAATGTGCCTTGTACGTAGTAAAGTCTGAAATACTTTTTTAATGTGCTTTTACTTTTTTAAATTGTGATTTTACAGGCACTGCCCAGCTCTCAGTCAGCCCTTTACTAAAAGAGTGTTGCTGGATCAGCACGTTCAACTGATGCATGGAGTTAAAGATGTAGGAGGAAAGACTCATAACATGGAGGCTTTACCTGACAAAGAAAAGGTACTGTGGAACAATTTTAGAAGGAAATCACTTCTTTGTTTTTCATGACATCTCTGAGCTAACTTTCATATAATGTCCTTTACAGAGCCTCAGCCCCAAAAGGAAGACAGAAGATGATGAAGGAGATCCAGGGCTGAACTCCAGGGGCACTATCTCGCAGCCACTGAAGAGGCTTAAGGTGAACATCCTCAAAGTTCACAAGTGTGCTGTCTGCAGCTTCACCACTGAAGATTTTGCTGCGTTCCAAGAGCACATTCCTCAGCACAAGTCTGACGGCTCATCTTACCAGTGTCAAGAGTGCGGCCTGTGCTACACCTCCCACCGCTCACTGGCCCGACACCTCTTTATTGTCCACCGGCTGAAGGAGCCTCAAGGCCTTGGCCGATATAACGGACGGAGCAAGGAAGATGAGGAGAGTCAAAGAGAGAACCAGTTCGATGTTACTGATGAGAACAGCGATGGGACACCAAACACTAAATGTAAGGTGTGTGGGAAGATGTTTGAAACGGAGGGAAACCTGAACACTCACATGAGGACACACGGGATGGCATTCATAAAGGCAAGGAGACTAAGTGCAGCGGAAAAGTGAAAGAAAGACACTTTTTACTCATTCCACAATTCAACTTAAACAGCTTGTTAAACCTACAGTACCTCCACTGACTGTGTTTATGTTGTAGGTACATCATGCAAATGCAGTGGTATATAACATGTATACAATACAAACTAAAAAGTGTGTGATATACATCAAAGATCATTTAACGTGTCTGAGGAAATTGAACAAAGTTTCTGGTAAAGATGTTTCTAAAGCCTTACATAGAACTTTTTTAGAAGAGCCTTTTATGTGAAATAGTTTCCATAGTTGTCTTCTTGCTAGGACCAGATAATGTATGGACAATATATTCTAATGGGATTAATCCTCATACAGTCAGCAGTGTTCTAAACTTTCAATGCCCAATGAATGTCTGTCAGAAAAATATATCAAACTGTGGGAAGCTTCAGCTTCCCCATAGCGCAGCTAACTTGATTTGAAATTGTTTTTGAAAATTCACGGAGCCCTTTAAGACTTACCTTCTACAAAAAGGCCGCACTTCTTATAACACACCCAGAAGAACACATGTGCAGTAACTTTGAGCTGGAGTAAAAGTAAATATCAAACAATTCAGGACAATCGGTTAAAGAAGCAGCTTAGTGTCATTTGAATTTTCATAAAGTGAGCTGCTAACATATCAACAAAGTTTGGAATATGGAAACATAAATATGTGACGCAGCATACAAAAGCTAGGCGAAGTTGTTTTTTTTTTTCCATTTTATGTTTCCTAAAATTTCCTAAAACTTCTCGATTAACATGCGAAAAAATATATATATTTATTTTTGATTATTTTCTATGAGGTTTAACTTTAGTAAATGATCAAACATTCAATACAAACTTCACGAAGCATACAAGTAACCGTCAGTCGATTACAATTCACAGGCTAGAGACAGAAAAAATATTCAGCATCACTAAAGGGAAAATTTCGTTGAGTATCTGAGTTGCACTCGTATGCCTGAATTACACTTCTGAGGCAAATCTACGTAGCGCCTGTGTTTCAGAAGGGTTTATGGTTACAACACTCCTGCAGATGCAGATTTAACACAGAAGTATAAATCCCCTGTCAGGCATGTGTAGGGTGACCATATTTTGATTTCCAAAAAAGAGGACACTTGGCTCAATCATGAAGAACTTGCTTAAAGAAACATATTTAAACGGCACCTTCTCTGTGCGGTTATTGAATTGTGAAATAAAATATGCCATATAGGCTTTTACAAGTCAACAAGTGCAAAAAAAAAAAGCCTCTGGAATTAAATAATGGTACAGATAATGGTATGCCTCATCTGCATAGGAAAAATTACCAGTACTGGGTCGGTACGAGGGAAATTTCTTTTGCAGTTCGTCTGAAAAGATGGACATGCGCTTTGGGATCTTTTAAACATCATTAGGTGCGTTGCTGCGCGCTGACTGTCCCGTCTGTGAGTGCAGAACAAGCGCTCACAAAGCAGCAGTTCGGGGATGACGTCACACACAAGGGTCCTCTGTCGGACTATAGGAAAACCCGGACATTTTTATCAATCACGAAAATCCCCCCTAACAGAACGTGAAGAGGACATGTCCGGGGAAAAGAGAACGGTTGGTCACCCTAGGCATGTGTGGCTGTGCTGTGTTTGATTTGAACTTGAGCTGAGAGCTTTGATGTGAGGATTTGGGGGTAACATTGCGCATTGTTTATATGCAGTTTATTCATCAGAAGCACTTACAGAATCTGTATTTGTCAGACGGTGAAGTTAAGATAAACACTGGCGATATCGTAAAGTCCCTTTCCTGTGCTGCGTCACATATGAGTTCAAAGCTCCCAACTTTACTGATCATAAAGTCAAACTTTACTATATCCTTTAAAGACACTTGTGGGCCAATTTTTTTTGGAAGTATTTTATAAAGGATTGTGATATTTTTTTAAGTTGATGTTTCATTACTGTCTTAATATACTGTAACTGGCAGCTCTTTGAGATTACAATTCACTTAAAATGTTTATTTACCTAAATATTGTAAATATGAGACAAAGCACTTGACTTCCTTTGAACAGCAGTCCTCTTTACAGTATATTGGCGTAATTCTAACAAGAGCACAATAACATTAAAATTGTAAGGACACTAGAGTATCATTTAATTTGCTGCCTTATTGTGTGGATGTGAATCTTTTTTCATTTCATGGTTCTTCAAGTTATGCGATGTTATGTTCACTGACAGGAATTATACTGAAACAAACTTCTGAGACATAAGAAAACGTCTATGAATGTACGCTTGGCTGTAAATAGGCGACAGCCAATTCAGTGAAATAAACACAAGATTGTTGCTCATTGTTTTCTTTGGTCTCAGCCTTTCCCAAACGAAAGCCTCACTTTGTTTGTTGTTGTTGTTGTTGCTTTATAATGACAATAAGACTTGAAATGTCTTGCGCTGTAAAACTGCATGCGAGAACCAGTCTGTTGATTAGAATGTGTCTTGCTGCCACTGCTGCCATTTTTAAACATTTCTGATGCTTGTAAACAAAATTGTTCTAAATGTTAATAAATGATGTCTGTTACACAGGAGACATCACCTCTTCACTGGGGAAGAAATCCTGTCATGATCATCCTGATGTACCTGATTCTGCTTAATATTACTATTAAGACTAATGTCTAACAGCCAGATTGATATAATTGTACTCAATGATAAAAACAAGTAGTTCTCTGATGAGCCACGCTCCCAGTAATACTTAAGAGTCAGGTGAAAAAGAAGGAAACTTTTAGCCACTTTTAGCAGAAATAAGTTTAGGGTAATCATTTTCTGCATGCCTTTATCAGTCTCTCACTTTGTTGTGGAAACATTCTGGCTCACGCTTGTTTCACAGTTCTCTTAAGGTCCCACTACAGCATTTCAATCTGCTTGACATCTGAGGTTTGACTTTGCCATTAAAATAACTTTATTCTTTCCTTTTCAGTCATTCTGCTGTTGATCTGCTGATTTGTTTGGGACCATTGTCCTATTGTGTGACACAGTTTGGGGCAGGCTTTAGCTTTCAGACAGACGCCCTCACATTTGCCTCTAGAATACTTTGGTACACAGAGGAGCTGATGGTCAACTCAGTGACTGTAAGAAGTCCATGTCCTGTGGCTAGAACACAAGCCCAAATCATCACTCCTCCACCACCGTGCCTGATAGTTGATATTGGGTGTTTGTGCTGATTTGCTGAGTTTGGTTTTTGCATCATGTCCAAACATCTCCACTTTGTTCTTGTCTCTCCAAAGGGCATTGCTCCATCAGATGCAAGAGTCAGCTATTCTGCAGTGTTCTTTTTATATAGAGACGGACTTTCTCGGACAGCCCGTCTAAACATACTCTTTTAGTCTTTTTCTAATTGTACTGTCATGAACTTTAACATTTAACATTCTAACTGAGCCTTCTTTTTTGCATGACTATACGTGTTACATCATGTTTTTGTTTAAAAATATAAAAATTTCAACAATTTCATCACTTATTTCAACACTAAATCCAGTAGCTATCAATGCAAAAGAATCACTGACATTTAGAAAAGTTTCACTCTGCAGTTCCCCTCGGCTTTTGCTTCATTTTTAGTATGTTGTGGCACTTTGTTATGGTTTGACTTCCTGCTACATAAATTAAGAAAAACTATTCTTTTACTTTTATTGATTGCCCTCCTTTGATGAAGCCACAAAATGTGTGTTCCGTGACAAGAACACAAAATTGTTATTTTTTAGCCCAGTGTGACAATTCAAAATCCTCTAAATCAGCATGAAAAACATAAAATAAACATAAATAACCACACTGCACTGTTATCTTTTAGAATTAAATAACCCAGTAATGACTATGAGTATCTTGCAGCACATGGCTAACAAGTGCCGCTAATGCCCAGTATTGCATAGCTCTAAAGGTACCAGTTAGCTGCAATGTAAAAACAGAAAGAAATGTCTATTATTTATTAAAAACTCTCCTTTTCTCTATAGATTCTAATGCTGCACTGTCAGTGACAAAATGTTTTAATCATGCTATGGAGTAAGTAGTTAAAATAAGTGGTGATTGTAGGGTCTTTTCCTCTTTGTAAGAGACACAGAAGCACTTAAGCACTAAACTACTATTATTAGATCAAAATAGGGTTGCATTCTATTAAATATGTGTTGCTAGGTAAAAACGAGACGGCCCAAGAATGTTTTATGGACAATCGCTCCCTCTAGTGGTCAGTTATTTGGAGTGCTGTACTCTGATGGCTGGATGATCTGTGGTGTTTCTTCCATCACTAGAGAAAAGTAGAAAATTGTAGTAATAGTTATAACTGAGCAGAGGAATTTTCAAGTAATTACCTTTGTGTCTCTGTGTCTATTTAATGCTATTTAAAATGTGTGAATATGTAAAATACAATTGGTATATAATAAAAATATAACTTAAAAATGTGTGCTTAAATGGTTATGTGGACTGGTCACCCGTCAAAGCTGCACTTTAATAATGTTGTTCTTGCGTAGTGAGAAAAATCACAGCCTGGATTGTTTTGTTAGCCTCTCATCCTCCTTCATGTAACCAAATCCTGTTTACACCTGCTAGTGAAAACCAATTAAAGTCATTCAATTTAGCCATGGAAGATGAATTTCACAGTACACTCTGAATGGTGACGTGTTCCCTTCTCTGTTATTTAAACACCTTCTTCCCTAAAAAGAAACAGTCAGAGCCAAAATGATCCTCCATTTGGTGGCGTTTCTTCTTTTTGTGGGGGGCAGAGGAGCAGTGGAAAACACACAGATTTTGACAGTGTCCCAAAGATGCTTGGAGGATACAAACACTTTTCTCCGGGAAATTAACCAGGATGAACCAAAGGGCTATGCTGTTCTAAGTAAGTGATTGTGATTTTTGTATGGCATTTCTTATGCGCTTGTGTGGTAAGTGGCATTTAATCCACTTTAGCAGAGGAGCCAAGATAGAAAAGTCAAAAATACAGAAATAGATTACAAATTCTTCAGGACAATGCAAGACCATAAGCTTAAGTTCATTTTCACCTTCTCAGAGAATAAAAATACTGCCGCTGGAAGCTTCTGAAAATTACAAAGATTAGGTTTTTATGACTGTCATGCTTACATCAAAAATGATCGATGCATACATCAAATCCGTGACTTTAACCTGTGCAGCTGGTGTAGAGCCTATGAAACTGCATAAGTGTTCAAAAGAACTGTAAGAATATTTAAATAGTTAAGATGATGATGTTGAAAGTGTTCATTTCATACCTACATTGTAACTAATTCCTACTCATTGTGTGCTTACAGTGGGGCAAAAAAGTATTTAGTCAGCCACCAATTGTGCAAGTTCCCCCACTTAAAATGATGACAGAGGTCAGTAATTTGCACCAGAGGTACACTTCAACTGTGAGAGACAGAATGTGAAAAAAAAATCCATGAATTCACATGGTAGGATTTGTAAAGAATTTATTCGTAAATTAGGGTGGAAAATAAGTATTTGGTCACCTCAAACAAGGAAAATCTCTGGCTCTCACAGACCTGTAACGTCTTCTGTAAGAAGCTTTTCTGTCCCCCACTCGTTACCTGTATGAATGGCACCTGTTTGAACTCATCATCTGTATAAAAGACACCTGTCCACAGCCTCAAACAGTCAGACTCCAAACTCCGCCATGGCCAAGACCAAAGAGCTTTCGAAGGACACCAGGAAAAGTATTGTAGACCTGCACCAGACTGGGAAGAGTGAATCTACAATAGGCAAGCAGCTTGGTGTGAAAAAATCAACTGTGGGAGCAATCATCAGAAAATGGAAGACATACAAGACCACTGACAATCTCCCTTGATCTGGGGCTCCACGCAAGATCTCATCCCGTGGGGTCAAAATGATCATGAGAACGGTGAGCAAAGATCCCAGAACCACATGGGGGGACCTGGTGAATGACCTGCAGAGAGCTGGGACCAAAGTAACAAAGGTCACCATCAGTAACACACTACAACGGCAGGGAATCAAATCCCGCAGTGCCAGACGTGTTCCGCTGCTGAAGCCAGTGCATGTCCAGGCCCGTCTGAAGTTTGCCAGAGAGCACATGGATGATACAGCAGAGGATTGGGAGAATGTCATGTGGTCAGATGAAACCAAAGTAGAACTTTTTGGTATAAACTCAACTCGTCGTGTTTGGAGGAAGAAGAATACTGAGTTGCATCCCAAGAACACCATACCTACTGTGAAGCATGGGGGTGGAAACATCATGCTATGGGGCTGTTTTTCTGCCAAGGGGACAGGACGACTGATCCGTGTTAAGGACAGAATGAATGGGGCCATGTATCGTGAGATTTTGAGCCAAAACCTCCTTCCATCAGTGAGAACTTTGAAGATGAAAAGAGGCTGAGTCTTCCAACATGACAATGATCCAAAACACACCGTCCGGGCAACAAAGGAGTGGCTCCGTAAGAAGCATTTGAAAGTCCTGGAGTGGCCTAGCCAGTCTCCAGACCTCAACCCCATAGAAAATCTGTGGCGGGAGTTGAAAGTCCGTGTTGCTCGGCGACAGCCCCAAAACATCACTGCTCTCGAGAAGATCTGCATGGAGGAATGGGCCAAAATACCAGCTACTGTGTGTGCAAACCTGGTAAAGACCTATAGTAAACGTTTGACCTCTGTTATTGCCAACAAAGGTTATGTTACAAAGTATTGAGTTGTATTTTTGTTATTGACCAAATACTTATTTTCCACCCTGATTTACGAATAAATTCTTTACAAATCCTACCATGTGGATTCATGGATTTTTTTTTTTTCACATTCTGTCTCTCACAGTTGAAGTGTACCTCTGGTGCAAATTACTGACCTCTGTCATCATTTTAGGTGGGGGATCTTGCACAACCGGTGGCTGACTAAATACTTTTTTGCCCCACTGTATGTATTTTCAGTGAGACAGTAACAAAGACCAGCCTTGAGGCTAATAACTAACTAACTGTACTACCAGCATAAGGAGTAGCACTGGACATTGCGTGGTCAACACCACCCTCCTGATGGAACCACTGAAATGCAAATCTTTGCGGAGCTGTGATAAGAGGCTATAGCTAATAAATGTAGCTGTTAGCTAACACATACTTTTGTAAGCTAACAGCTAACTTATGAAGAACAAAATACCTTATAAATCAAAATATGCTAATGCTACTCAAGTTCAATGTAAATGTTACTTACTACTTCACTATTTCAATACTTTTTTTTAAGAGCCACCAACTATAAACCCTACACAATTAGCTTAAATTCACCTCTATCTGTTTTATTTAACTCCCTTTTCCCCTACCAGTGTCACAGCAACATTAATGACATCACTGTTTGTTTCACACTTACTAATAAAAGTAGGTATGCCAGCTCAGCAGGGGTCTTGGGACACACGTAAATCCAACCTACTAAACCTACTGTTAATGCCCTACAATCCACCTAGAGGGCGCTCATGAGTTAGTCTTCAGTGAATAGAGCCAAATGGCAGACTGAAGTATCTAAGCTTGCTCCTGCCACGGGGAAAAAAATCTTTTTTTTTTTGTTATCCAGAAGTCCAAATTTGGGGTTATTTCCTCAAAATTTCAACTTTAAAATTACA